GATAGTGGCTCCCGGAGCCAGCAAGTAGCATGGTGGTTAAGGCGCTGGACTCCCACATGGTCAACCACAGTTCAAGCCCTGGATTTGACAGCTAACTTTCTCACTTTCCTTCTCTCTCTTTTTCTGCCTCTCTCTGGTGAAAGCATGTGCACTATATAAAAAAACAAACAAACAAATAAAATAATAAATAAGATGAAATGAGTAATAATTGAAAAAAAAGAAAAAAGATAATGGGTCCAGGCAGGAACCTGAGTAGTGGTGTGACAGAGTTCATCCTGGCAGGCTTCCCAAATCTCAACAGCACAAGAGAGGAACTGTTTTCTGTGTTCCTTCTTGTCTATCTGCTGACTCTGATAGGCAATGTGTTGATTGTGGGGGTGGTAGGAGCTGACACTCGCCTCCAGACCCCCATGTACTTTTTTCTGGGTAATCTGTCCTGCTTAGAGATTCTGCTCACTTCTGTCATCATTCCTAAGATGCTGAGCAATTTTCTTTCAAGGCAACACACGATTTCCTTTGTTGCATGTATTACCCAATTTTATTTCTACTTCTTTCTTGGGGCTTCTGAGTTCTTACTGCTGGCCGTCATGTCTGTGGATCGCTACCTGGCCATCTGTCATCCTCTGCGCTATCCCTTGCTTATGAACTGGGCAGTGTGCTTGCGTGTGGCCATGGCCTGCTGGATGGGAGGACTCCTCCCTGTGCTTGGTCCCACAGTGGCTGTGGCTTTGCTCCCTTTCTGCAAGCAGGGTGCTGTGGTACAACACTTCTTCTGTGACAGTGGCCCATTGCTCCGCCTGGCATGCACCAACACCAAGAAGCTGGAGGAGACAGACTTTGTCCTGGCCTCTCTTGTCATTGTGTCTTCGCTGATGATTACTGTTGCATCCTATGGCCACATAGTACTGGCTGTCCTACGGATCCCCTCTGCTTCAGGCCGTCAGAAGGCCTTCTCTACATGTACTTCCCACTTGATGGTAGTGATTCTCTTCTACGGAAGTGCCATTTTTCTCTACGTGCGGCCATCACAGAGTGGCTCTGTGGATACTAACTGGGCAGTGACTGTGGTAACAACATTCGTAACACCACTGCTGAATCCATTCATCTATGCCTTGCGCAATGAGCGAGTCAAGGAAGTTTTGAAGGACATGTTCAAGAAGATCATAGCCAAGTTTTTAGGGATTTTATTACCTGATAATAGTTTCAATAAGATAATAGTAAGGAAAAGTGAAAGGGCTGAGTAACTGGTCTTAAGTCCAAACATTCTCCACTGTCATTCTCCTTTTCATCATCATCATGGACATCACCAAAGGACTGAATTCTGTCACCACTAATGAATCCCCAAAGGAACAAGTCTAACCTTCTGTTTCAGACAAAATTCCAGATTCTTTATCATACCTAATAATAATTCATATGACTACTGATATATAATTATCAACACCGTTACTTCATAAGACCTTCCCACTTGTGATATCTTAGCCTAAGAGTCTGGGGTCACCTAGTAAACCTAAGAATGAGTTTAAGAAATTTTATAAGCCCATAAGTATTTTTTTTTTTTTGAGAGGTTTTTCGCTATAGGGCGCTTGCGCTCGCCAGACAGACAGAGACATAGAGACAGAAAGCGAGAAATCACCCCCCAGGGGGGATGGTCACACCGCAATCCCTTCTCCTCCCTTCTCTTCCATTCTCCTCTCGGGATCCTGGGCACGCATGCACACGCGCCCGGCGTGAGTTTTAAACCACCGGGTCTGGGACTCGAACCGCGGTTGACTACGTGGGAATCCAGCGACATAGCCATTACACTAACTGCTGGTTCCCAAGTCCATAAGTATTTTGATCCTATCTATTTGAACATGTATGCATTTGTCTGAAAGGGAGATCGATAGCTTTAATCCAGTATGTAGAGAAACCTTCTCCTGAAAAGTTAAAAACTGATGAAGAGCTTCAGTTGATCCTTCCAATTGTTTGTGTATCAAGTATTTTAAAATTTTTTCTCTATAATTATAAGGAGAGATAAAATAAACAGATTATTTAGATATTTTTGTATATACTTCCAGGAAAAAAATAAAATATTTATTACTAAATGGAAAAGATCAAAGCAAATGTAATAAAGGGACTTAGTCACATCTTGATGGCACTCTCAAGTGCCTTGATAAAAGCCAGTGAATGATGGATTTTATGAATAATAACATTTAATGTGTTTTTCTGATTTATATTTTATTACAACGATGAATTGAAGACATCTCCACTCATTTTTGTCCCTGGATTATGTTCCTTTCTTTGGTTCCTCTTCACATTATTTTATATCATGCCTTAGATTATCTATTTCTAGTAAAATTGGGATAGGAATGAGGTGATAAAATATTTTTAAAATTTTTTATTATTATTATTTATACATTCAATTTCTATACATCATTTAGATTGTAAAGAGATTTTACCCAGCATGACACACCTCTTAGTCCAGTTGAGAATATTATACACATCCTCATCAACAGATAACAAACTATACCTGTGTCCCAAAAATATCTTCTCTCTCCATATTTTTCCCCTAATTTCCTTTCCTGCACTCTTCCCCTCCCACATTCTCCCTCTACTTTGGCTCTAGTGTCCACAACAATTTCTAATGCTTTTATGTCCTCCAGTCTTTCAGTCTCTACCATAGAGAGCAGACAGTCTATATATTGTTCACTCTGTCCCTCTCTGATCAAATTAAAATAAATAAATAAAGTTAAATAAAATAAATCTTTAAAAAAAGAAAAGAAAACTGACAATTAGAAAATATTAATTTATTTTGAAAATGAAGATGTTAAGCATGCTATAGATAACACGAGTATTTCAATTTTTAAAAAACTACATTTTCTAGATCACAGATATGAGTAATATTCATTTGAAAATTGTGAAAAATGCTACAATAAACATGGATGTGCAAGTGTTCTTCTGACTGTTTATTCCTGTGCTTTGGGTAGATACCCAAGAGTGGAATTGCTGGATCATATGGTAGCTTTATTTTAAGTTTTTTGAGGACCCTCCATATCATTCTCCATAGTGGCTGGACCAATTGACATCCCTCATTTTCTTCCAGATAAGTCCCTTGAGTTCTCTGTGTATTCTGGTTATCAGTCCCTTATCTGAGGAACAGTTAACAAAATTTCTCTCCTATTTTGAGGGTTGTTGATTCACAGTAATTACCATGTCCTTTGCTGTGCAGAAACTTCTTAATCTGATGTTATTCCACCTGTTTATTTTTGGGATTATTGCCTGTACTTTGGGGGTCTTGCTTAAGAAGTCTTTGCCTACCCTGATGTCTCTCAGAGTTTCCCCAGAGTTTTCTTCCAGTAGTTTTATAGTTTGTGGTCTTAGGTTTAGATCTTTGATCCACTTTGAGATGATTTTTGCTAATGGTAACAGGGGTTCAGATACATCTTTCTGCAGGTGAATACCCTGTTTTTCCAGCACCATTTGCTAAAGAGGTTTTCCTTTTTCCACTGGGTTGACTGGTACCCTTTGTCAAAGATGAATTGGCCCTATGTTTTAGGGCTTATTTCTGGGATCTCTACTCTGTTCCATTGGTCCTCATGTCTGTTTTTGTGCCAATACCATGATGTTTTTGATTATCACAGCTTTCTAATGTATTTTGGGGTCAGGAAGTGAGATGCTCCTCACTCCAGTCTTCTTGCACATGATGGCTTTGGCAATATGGGGTCTTTTTATGGTTCCAAACAAATTCTATGATTGTCTTTTCTAGATCTGTGAAGAATGTCTCTTGTAATTTTATTAGGATTGCATTAAACATGTAGATTAATTTGAGTAGGATTGCCATTTTGATTATATTAATTCTTCCAATCCAGGAACATGGGATATCCTTCCACTGGTTTGTGTCCGATATCCGTCCACTGGTTTGTGTCCTTTTTGACTTCCTTTTTAAGGTTTTCATAGTTTCCCTTTTAGAGGTCTTTGACATTCTTGATTAGTTTTATTCCTAGGTATCTTGTACTTCTTGTGGTCATGGTAAACGGGATTACTTTCTTCAGTTCTGTCTCTGTCTGCTTGTTATTTATACATAGAAATGCTATCCATTTTTGTAAGTTAATTTTATATTCTGCTACTTTACTGTATGCATTTATTACTTTGAGAAGTTTTCTCATGGATACTATTGGGTCTTCTAGGTACACAATCATGTCATCTGCAGACAGAGATAATTTCAGCTTTTCTTACCCTATTGGAATGCCTTTTATTTCCTTCTCTTGTCTGATCGCATTGGCTTGGACTTCCAGTACTATACTGAATAGGAGCAGAAAGTGGGCAGCCTTGTCTTGTACCAGTTTTTAGTGGAAAAGCTTTCACCTTTTCCCCATTCAGCATAATGTTAGCTATAGATTTTTCATAGATGGGTTTTATTATACTGAGAAGTGATCCTCTGATGACAATTTTCCTGAGAGTCTTAATTATAAGGAAATGTTGTATTTTGTCAAATGCTTTTTCTGCATCAGTTGAGATGATAATGTGGTTTTTAATCTTTCTTTCTGTTAGTATGGTGTATTACATTTATCATTTTGCATATGTTGAACCACCCTTGCATCCCTGGCATAAAGCCTGCCTGGTTGTGATGAATAACCTTTTTTTATATGCTGTTGAATATGGTTAGCAAGTATCTTGTTGAGAATTTTTGCATCTATATTCATCAGAGATATAGGTCTGTAGTTTTCCTTTATTTTCATATCTTTATACATTTTGGGAATGAGGGTAATGGACGCTTCATAGAATGAATTTGGAAGGGTTCCTTCCTTTTGGATCTCTAGAAACAGAGTGAGTAGAATGAGGGTTACTTCTTTTTAAAAAGTTTTGTAAAACTCAGCCGTAAAGCCATCGGGACCTGGACTTTTCTTTGTTGGGAGGTTATTTATTACTGATTCAATCTCATTGCTTGCTATAGGTCTATTCAGGCTTTCTATGTCCTCCTTTGTCAATGTTGGTAGATTATATGTGTCCAGGAATTTGTCCATCTCATCCAGGTTTTCTTCTTTGTTGGCATATAGTTCATAGCATCCTCTAGTGATGTTTTGTATTTCTATTATGTCTGTTGTAACATCGCCTGATTGTGAATTTGAAGTATCTGATTCTTTTCTCTCTTCATCTTAATGGTGTGTCAATCTTGTTTATCTTTTCAAAGAACCAGCTTTTGCTTTCATTTATTTTCTGTATGGTTCACTTATTTTCTATTTTATTTATTTCTGGGAGTGCTGAAATATTAAAGAGTTAAGAATACCAACTATCGGGACCAGCAGTTGGCGTAATGGCTGTGTCGCTGGACTCCCATGTAGTTGACTGCAATTTGAGTCTCTGACCTGGACCGGTGGCTTAAACTCACACCAGGCACATGTGTGTGCGTGCCTAAAATCCCGAGTGGAAAATGGAGGAGAAGGGAGTGTGGTATAACCATCCCACGGGGGGGGTGATTTCTCACTTTCTGTCTCTCTGTCTCTCTCTGTCTTTCTGGAGAGTACACATGCCCTGTAGCAAAAACCTATTAAAATACGAATACCAACTATTTTTGTCCTGTCAAGAACCACTTTGTTGGCCAGAGGGTGGCAGAGCGATTAAGGTGCTAGATTCCCACATGGCTGACTGCAGTTTGAGTCCCAGATTTGATGACTTGTTTTCTCACCTTTTATTTTCTTTTTCTTTCTCACTCATGTGCATATGCTCTAAAGCAAATTAAAAAACAAAACAAAGCAAAATGCAACAACAACAAAAACCACTTTGCAGTAATTTTATCTGCTTCACTGGATATTTGAAAAGGGAATGCAAATTCTTACTAGTGGCGTCTTTGGAAGTCATGGGGACAGATATTCATTCACTTATTCATTTATTTGTGCACTAACTCAACAAAGGTCTAGTTATCATCTTTGTTGGATACTGTGATATACTAATATATCTTAGGATGAACAACCTTGAGGTTCCTTACCTGTGATATACTAATATATGCTAAGGGGAACAACCTTGAGGTTCCTAACCTCAAGCAGCTTGGACTTTAGAAGGGAAGACTATGAGACAAACAATAATTCAAGTGAATGGGGATGGTAAGAGAGTTTATAAAATGACATTGGAGATCATATAAAAATTGGTTCACTCTGTCTAGTGAATTCCATTGTTAGAGAAGTTTTCATAGATTTTCATTCACTAAATAGGAATTAATACCATGTCGGAGTGTATTTACGTATATAGGCACAATGTATCAAAAAAA